CCTCTAAAAACTAATTGATCTTTTTTGTATGTGCACTTTTAAAAATAAATGATGTTTTTTATTATATTTTATCTTTATATTAATTATTGGGTCTATATTAGTTGATCTACGGATAAATTATGAATGATCTTCATTAAAGGTAACATAATATTCATGTTTAATATACTCTTTTAATATTCGGTAAACAAAAATAATATTTGATCCTCTTTTTTAGTTATTGATCTTTAATTTTGTTAATTTGATGATTTTTATATCAAGTTTGCCTTTTAATATTGATCACCTAATAAATACATTTCGATCTATGTATAACTTAACTTTAAAATATATTTGATCTAACAAAAAATATTATTGGTTAATATTTTTAATTAAAAAATATCTTTTAATTTACGCGGTACTTTGTGGTTGAGTGACAATCGTCCGTCATTGGTTACTGAGTTGGCCAAGGGCTTAGCGGCCAATAAGCAAGCAGAATGGTACATTGCCATGTTTGTTTAAATTACAAGCTTTGCTTAGTTTGGGACTAGAGGCGCTATGTAAAATAATTTCTTACTTCTGACATCCCTGAACCCGACATCATAATTTTTACCTCTTTATGTTTTTCAAATCGCAAGGTTGATTTTCTCTTAGTATACCGATCTCGACCGTGATCAGTGACCATAAAGTCATCTGTCAACGGGTCGATTAGACACGATAAAAGCACTAAACGATATTATTTTGTTTACTTTTAGTGCGACATCGGGTCGTAAGGACCTGATAAGTTTTTTTTTCCAAATATTTACTGTGTTTGACGAAACAATTGCAAAACAATATTTATATTTCGTACTACTGAAAAGACCGAATATATCATCCCGCACCAACGCATCCAGCACCTAAGGTCAATTTGACCCGATAACGCAGTGTGAACGTGTTAAGTATGCTTTTTTAATAATAAAAAAATCTTTAAACATCAAGTGCCTTTAAATAGTTTCCATCCTTTGACTACAACTTAATAAAAATAAGTACCATAACATAATTATTTTGAAGATTATTTGATATAGACAAAAAATAATTTATACAAATCGAATTATTTAAAAAAGTATCACAATATTGAATATTTGGTGCTCATTTCTTTTATTTTTGAGGACCAACAAGTAACGATCAGATATAATTTTTACATCTCAATTTTTTTTGCGTAGTTCAAAAGAGGTTAAAATATCGATCGATTTCATTTATTTTATGTCTCAAAGAAAGAGGATCAATCATTAAAATAGATGACCATTTAGATTTTTTTATTTGCCGTTTTTGCTAATTTAAAAAGATCATTTAAATACATGCCTTTAGTAAATATGTAGTTTAATTAATGAGTTATTTTCTGTATAATCTTAAGCGATTAAATTAATTTGTACAGAGCGAGCCCTTCTGCACGTGCGAGAACAACTCGCACTTGACCGTATAACTAATGTAAACAAATACTTATAGTTCATTAACTTGACTCAAGTACCTACACTAGTTTATTCGTTAATTAGGTACTTACTTGTGTCTAAATATTATTAAAAGGTACCGAATGTTAACACATTTTTAATTAGCAATAACAAATTACTAACGCTAAGGTGGGACAGTCAGCGTCAAAAAGTTCGAGACAACCAAAGTGGTCAAAAATTTGACAACATAACCTTATTCCAATGAGGGCTATCGTTTTAGCGCTCACCAGTTAGCGCCACTGTAGAGTAAGGTCCTGTCACTTGCTAGTAGCGAAGACAGTGGCGCCAACTGGTGAGCGCTAAAGTGGTAGGAGGACTATCGTATTTGCACTCATCAAGATGGCGCCACTGTAGAGTAAGGTCCTGTCAATCGCCAGGGGTGCCAACTGTTAAGTATAAAAACGATAGCCCTCATTGTAACAAAGACGTGTTGCGAATTTGTTGCCTACTTTGGGTGTCACGAACTATTTGACGCTGACTGTACTCGTTATTACTACGATATTAGTTAAAGTAATTATAGGCGTAATCGTATTCCTGGAAGTGTACCTACTATTAAATTAAATTGGCATGTGAAGTGGACTAATCATACGAATTCATGTTTGTAAAACTTTTTTTTTTAAATAAGCTTTATTAATTAAGTAAGTATTCGACAGTAGGTAGTAGGCAGCATATGAAAATCAAATGTAATATGGGTAGGTACATACCTACTCGTACTTATAATAAATTGTTCACGTCTTAGGATTTTAAATATTTTTTTTTAATTTCATAACAATACATATATCCCATAACAATGCTCTTAGTAAAGCAGTTTTCAAACTTTATCTGTAGGAGTTTTAAAGCTGTTTTAAAAGCTCTTTAATTTTATTCTAATTAGAATTTTCATCGCTAAAAGTATGCAATAAAACATTTGAGTTTGAAAAAATAAATGCCTCTCTAATAGAGCAACAAATTAGTTATTATGACAACTCTTTCACGACAGATTACTAACTACCTAATGTATTTTAACGTTTAATCTAATCAGTAGGCATTAGTATGGACACATACGACTTAATGAGTCACCTCGTGGTGTTCCATTGATTAGAGGCCCGCTTTCTTCGTCAGCCCATTCAAGTCCAGCTGTCGTGAGCTGAATGTAGCCCGCAAGCCATTAGCATTTGTAGCAATCAAATAAATAAATACCATCAGATGAGCCCTTAATACATAATAAAATAAAAATAATAATATACATCAGTCCTTGACTGCGCAACTATAGTCCGATTTTTAATTCGACGGAATTCTGACAGCTGTCATTTTTTGACAATTCAGATGTAATAAGCCTTTTTTGCTTTGAATTATTAATAAATAAAATGAAATGAAATTTCATCAACTACAACTTACAAGAATGAACTATTGTTTGTTTCGTGAATTCAATGTACACTAATTATTATGTACATTTTAGAGAGTAAATAGAAAAAAACGTGTTTTTAACACAGTAAAACAACATATTAACATAAACGAAAATATGTATTGATCATCAATCATCATTATCGTCATCATAATCAACTTGGATAATAAAATTGGCATCTTGTTAAATTGATTATTTTATGAAGCTAAGATTTTATTAACAAAAGGATTTTCATAAAAAAGGTTTGTAACCCATGGATAATTGGCTAGGGAGTCCAGTAATAGAAAAATAATTTCCCAATTTTTTTTGTATCTTCTAAAATATGATAATAAAAATTCAAATAACCATTTTGAAATGATCAGTACATTTTTAAGCCTTAGTTTTTTAAGTAAACCTTAAATTCAAGAAAGGATTATTTTTTAATTTGTGAAAATGCTCTCCATCCTTAGTGGGAATGTTTCAATGTTGGCAACACTTCAGAAATGTCAAAATTCCGTCGAATTAAAAATCAGAGTTTAAATACTATGCTCGTGATCACATTACGAGTAGTACTTGCCCCCAGAGAGATTCGAACCCGCAACCATTTTTATATTGATAGTTAGGCTGGCATGGTAACGATAACGAGTACATATTGTATAGAAGGGGCTACAAATGAAAACATTATCTTATATGTATTGTCTTCATTCAGCAAAACACAAGCGTTTCACTACTATTATCTGAATAAAATTATGAGGTTTTATTGTCATTTAATTCACTTTCTATTAATTAAATTCATAGACATTGACGTCTTTCAAATCTATAAGAAAATACATGTACTTGCACATAGTAACATAATTAATGGACATAATATGCATAATTAATAACTTTTAAGAAATCCAAAATTGAAATGGAATATTACTCGTACTCGCTTTCATACCTTATTAATTTATTCTTATTACGTACTTTACTATCATTTTATAAGCAAAATAAGATAATAATAAAGTGGTGCGATTAAAATTATTTCTTGTATAGTTATTAGTTACTACTCTCGTTAACGTAAACTTAAACAAGTACATATCTTACTTAAAATGCTTAAAAAATACAATTAGAATCTTCAAAAAAAAAACAATGTAATAATGCAATCATTTTTACAAGCAAAAGTAAAATCTCCAAAAATGTCTGCCTCGCACTAGTTGCTGACAACAATTCAAGTTTGGAGTAGCTAATTAGTCAAATTAGTTTTACTACAATAACAGGTAATTACTCCAATGACGCCTAATTAATCATTTCAGCTAAAAAACATTTGCGCTTGACAATAAATATGTGACGTCAATGTAAACACGCTGTAAAATTTTCAACAAAACACCGGTACCGGCGGAAAACTGGCTACGAAGGTGGAAAAACATATTTTTATTAATTATACAAAACTGGCTGAAATGCGTCTTATTTTTTGCAATTACACAGCCTGCAATAGACATACCTGCATAATTTAAAAGTTTTTGTTAGGGGATCTGTGAGTAATAATAACCAAAGTGCAGGTTGTAAACAAATATTGTTCTGTTGTGGGCTTTTCCAGAAACATCTCATAGTTGTTTAAAGGAATTTGCTTACATTTGTAAGACATTTATCGTTTTTAAAACTACCTGGCGCACAATAAAAGTCGAGATAAGAGATTACGTGCTTAAGTCCGCATTATCGAAGAATTACAAAGTGCCATTGTTTTGTTTGGCTTCTTAAATGAATGAGGACACGTTTATTTGAGGTGAGCTGTTAAATTATTTAAGTTTTTTTTCCAAAATAACAACAATTGAACGTAAAAGTTTAGTGGGGGGACAGAGAATTTACATTTCTTCCTAATATTGTCAAAAACACCACAGTAACTACTCAATGTTTTGTTGTTGTTGATATAAATGCAGGTTGCTTAATATAAAAAATGTGGAGGTAGTTTTAAGTTTTGCAAAATTATAAACAATACTGACAAGTTCTCTTTTTACTACAGTAATAATTGGGAAAAGTTATTACAAATCTGTAATAATACACCGATCAATTATTTTCTGAACGCTAACAATAAATCTAGCATCCGTCGAAACTTTCGCGTTTTAATTCACAGATTAATGTCGCGCAAACTCACGCGCTGAAAAACGAAACTACCGTCCAATTAAGAAAAAAATGCTCACCGAAACAGCATCAACAATTGGAAACTCCTCGCATAACTGCAGCTCCACAGTGCACACACTCTCACTCACAAATTGTCGGGTTAACTACGAGATGCCGCGATGTTTTCCGAACGCTGCCGAGCGGTAAGGTGCGTGCGCGCTGCACGGCTGCGCGGTGCGATATGGCCGCAGCGAGTCGCTGAACTCGCGTGCAACTCGAACGCGAATTCGCGGCGAGAACTTGTGCTTGCGCGGGGGAAACATCGACTAGGGTTGGCTCGAAATCCAATAACTTTGAACAATGCAATTCCCCAAACAGCTTCTAGATTAGACTGAAGAAAGCTTGACCACCTAACTGCGTAGAAACTTAAAGATTGAAGTGTGAAAAACTGTGCTTCGTAGCCTTCGTAGCGTCGTAGCTAGGCCGCTAGAGGCAGGCTGTGCTTAATAAATAAATAAATAATAACTTTATTGACATAATAGGAAATAAGCTTTAACTATCTTCGAAACCCTGTTCTATCGGTCAGAATTGATAGTTTGAATTAGATTATAATGACCTACTGCCTTCTTTGAAATAAAAGTAATGGCCGCCACTGGTCGTAGACTCGTAGCATTTAATGTTTTGGCTTTTAAATTTTCCCCTACTTAAATGAACATGGATTGAATAGGACCAGTGTTATAATTATGTTTTCAAGACCGGATGGTAATCATTTAGTGTATGATATCAATCGATACTTAACATAAGCAGTTTCTAGTGCCAGTTAATTAAGTTCCACATTTATATCATTTTGCTAAAATGCCTTGCAGTAGGAACGTGTAATATTTTTTTTACAAATTCACCGAAATATTATGAAATTATTAAAGTGGGTATTAAATATAATATAATTTACTAAAACGTTCGTCGCTGCTGAAACATTGTCATGAAATCATAGACTTGCAAATGAAGTTAAATCAATGATGGAACTTTCGTTAAAACCCAATAGGCTTATTTTGATTGACACACTCCTACTAACCAATCTAAATTATTTGAGTGCAGCAGCACGCCAGCCCTGCACTTGGGCACAGAGCGGCTGAGCCGCGACCCGACCCGCGACCTCAACAAAGGTGACAAATGAGGCGGTTCCGTAACACACACCAAAACGAGGTCGTCACAATCCGATGTAACGCACGCTTCCGATTAGAGGCGCGTCTATGGAGCCGACTGGAGGTATCCACGTAGAGCACGCAAATGTCAAACACACAAAAAGCTCCATTTAAAAAAGCTCCAAGAAATGATGCAACATGCGAATAACACACGCACGAACACCACATAATTTTGACTTCGATAAAATGTCTACTTTTAATCAATTTATGCCGAGATAGATAATTAATTCCTCTTTAGGCTGTCTGCACGAAAATTATCATACACATAAATAATATCCACCAGTCCACAACACCAATTAAAATTATGCAGATTAGATACCTTAAAAGTTGGCGCCGCGCCGTCAAAACAAATTAGTAACTAATACTTAATGCCTAATTTGATAGCTAGCTAAAGCCAGCTTTTTAATAAGGAAAACTTATTTAGAAACCGGTAATAATTTTTTTGCTTTGTTATTTTTTTAACTTCGTACGAAGCTTAAAGCTGCTGAAGTTTAATGCAGCAATAAAGCTTCTCTGAAACTAAGTCCAAGCTCGTTTTCACTTAATTCCAATTCCTACTAGAAATGCAGTAGTAGATGATGTGAACACACACAGTTATCTACGAAAAATGGGGTGAGATCTTTAACCTCTATTTCACATTATTGAAATAAGAAATGGAAGTGATAAGAGGTCAATGATGCCGGCAATAAGTCGGCCGTTTGTTTATCAATGAGGCACTTGATTGTGCGTAGCGCCAGACTACAAGATATCAGGCTGATAAGATATTAATTGGGAATGCCTTTCGTTAGTCTAATTTCAATAACAAATAATAACAATTGCTAGCGCTTTTATCTAGCACTTGATCGTTTTAGTTTTTCATATCGTAATAACTATAACTAGGTATTCGATTCTATAATGATGTCATTAACATTTATGAACATAACTAAAGTTTTTCATTCCAGAATCCAGAGTCCTAAAATCTAGGCCTAGTGGTATTCAAATAAGTCAAAAAATGATTGATATCTAGACAGTTCTTCATTTTTATTTGACCTCGTAACGTAATTAAACCGATCACGATTATTACAAAATGAAAAAGCAAAACAAACTGCAGTTAATGTCGCGAACAATACTGCGCCGGCAACACAATGGCTGCGCTTGTTCCCGCTCCCTGGGAGGGTAACCAAACATCGATATGAAATAAAGACGAATTGGGACTGCATTTGCAATGTATTGACTACGAAGAAAAATAATCTGCTCTACATTTTTCAATAAGAAAATTTTATTTTGTATCATGCGTGTGTTTCGTATTTCACATAGTTCCGTAAAATCGTGCTTAATCTTGACTCGATCAAATCAAAGTATTCCCTGAGTTTTATTTTCCTTATTAAATTTTGGTTTTCTCCCAAGGCATTGTTTTATAAGTAGATTTTCCAAGGCCAAGGAAGCTTTTAAGTTCAGAAGGAAATCCAGGATTTTCAAACAATACGAAATTAGTGGATGTGTTCTGTTCCAGTCTGTCCGAGCTGGACCTTTAGTGTAGTGTCCCTAGCGTTAAGGGCGCATTGTGCCCGCTGACGCACGCGCCGTGGGAGCGGAAGACGCGCCACAACACCGTCTGCGCGCGCGCTGCCCGTCTGGCGATGGAGGAGGCTGGCACGGCTGTTTTTAAACATTTGCAATTTATCTTCAACTATGCAGATGAAGGACTTAACTACTTGCCTTTTGGGAAATATCTAATATCTACTATGTTTTATAGTCATTTCCTTCAACAATTTGAAATGCCTAAAAATAACTATCACGGTTTAGTGGCCAGGTTACCTACTAGTAAGAGCATGTGTGTCAAATAATTAAGTATAAGTACCTTTTTGGTTCCAAGGGTCAAATCAGCAACATGAATTAGGTACTAAGATTCAAAATAACTTTGATCCCACATCCCTGAAATTGTGGTTTTTCAGCACATAAAAAAATATGTACTGACTTTTTTGCATTTTGAGCATTCTCCTCATAATGATGCATCCGCACTAAACATTATGATATCAAAAGCCATATAAAAGTAGTTGCGGTCTTAATTCGATCATCCCATGACATTCCCGGACAACCGTGAAGATGTTGCGATCGGCGTCGCTATCTGCATGCACTTACGGCCAGGGCTCATCGTCCCCTCGAGCTTTTCATATTACAATGTTGCGCGAACGCAGTGCTGTGCGGACACCAAGGCATGGCCTTGAAGAATTTATAATACTAGCAACTCGCCCCGGCTTCTCATGCTTGCTTTACATATTTTTTTATCTACAACGGAAAAGCTCTTTGTCTACAAAACTTTCGACGGTTCACATATGAAACGTATAAAAATTATTCGCATATTTTAACAAAACAGATTTTTTTGCAGAAATGTTAAACACATGCAATAAAGTTATTGAGTATTGAAAGACAACAAGTGCTTAAAAATTAGGAGCACCACAAAAATTTCGCTAATATTAAATCTAATCCTTACTTATACATTTCATTTATCCTGAAAGTGAAAGCCTTAAAACATAATCTTCTTTAAGTTAAGCGAGATTATTTCCGCGAGGTGGAAATTTTTCTAAATATGTATTAGAATAAAATGCGAAATTGGCAACACTACCTTTGTCGGCGCCTCCATCGACGCAGGCGCAGGCGGGCCGATGCAGCCGATACCATCTTCCGGAGATGCGCCTCATCTCAGATGCTGCAAAAAAAAATAAAAAATCAAGATTTTGCGTGAGAACTTGCAACAAAAGCTACATTTAAAGACATTATAAGCTAAGTTTATTTTTTTGACTTGTCTAAAGTCTAGATAAATCAAATATGGATGACCAACCGAAACACTAAAGACGTGTGTGCAATGAGGCGCTTTTTGAAGCAACGTGAGCGGGGTGCAGCTATTTGATATACCTAATTACCCACTTATTACCAATATAGAAAATGCCTATTTCGCCAGAGTTTTTCATAAGCTTAATAAGTGTATCTACTGACCGCATGCCTCACAAGCTTTTAAGCACAGTGTTTAGTTTACATAATAACTCAAACCGTTCATTGTTTGCTACAAACGAAAGTTCAGCTTTATAAATAGTCAAAGTATAAACTTTCCCATTAAAATTACTACAACAAGTGGCGCTATGGAAGCTTTCGCTATAATTTATCGTGCAAATTAGCCTAGCTGGAGTATTTCCCGCCCACGAACACAGCCATGCTAATGTAATTAGATCAACAAGTGAGCCATTGAAGTTAGGTAATTAAACTTCCTTCCCAAGGTGCTAGGCACTATCAAAGACATAGTAAAACAACCTAAACACACCTGTTTGTAGTTGTTTGATAATAATCTACAAGTTTACATTTAGTTTTAGCCATAAATCTGATTAACGAATAATGCAGACAAATAGGTAAAAACAATGTTTTTGTAAATAGTGGGTAAATATTACTCCAAAGCGATATAACTAGTGATAGTTACGAGTATATCGATTTCAAAAAGAATTGCAATGAAAGCTCAATAACCTTTGTCCATCGAGGCGAGCAATTAAAACGGTAAGTAGGTATTAAGACCGGCAGTTGCGTTGCCCATTGCAATTGGCTCCTTTCGGCAGCTCTACTTGGGAAGAAAGGAAGGCCAATTGACAAACATCAACCTAAAAGTTACTTCAACATTCTCTTCTGTACACACACAAATTACAATTTTATTGACAATAATATGCTGTATTAAATCTATAGATAATATCTATAAATAGATACCAAAGAAAACAAACATCCATGAGCAAAATTACGTATCTTATTCCTATTGAGAAATGTCGTATGCAGAAACACAATAGACCAGGTCACTGGGGCACGTCGTTGCCTGAAATTTCAGTCTTGCTGCAGGATTACATAAATAAATCGTTATGTAGGTATGCAATTTATTGAAGAGGCAGGTCCAATTTACCATGCGGCCGCATTGCAGCTGTCCCCGATCCGCTAACCCACTCCCAGCTCCCTAGGGATGGGACGCAGGACATAATATTATAGCTAAAGAACAGTCATTTTTATTTTCCGTGCGAGAAATTCTCGAATATTCTCCTCTCCAGC